AAACCACCTGGTGATGTTGGGAATGGCATTAAACAGGAAATCAGAAATGCATGCAGTAAAGGAATATCTGTAATTGTGGGGGACTTTAATCTGCATATTGATTAGTCGCAACAAATTAATGACAGTGCCATAGAAAGAAATCCTGTAGTGCATATGGGCTGGTTTTCTGCAACATTAGATTAGGAACTAACTGGAGAACATTTCATCTCAGATTAGTATTATGCAACGAGAAAGGATTAATTGGTAATGTGGTTATGGGAGACAGTTTGGGGATGAATAGAATAAGAATATCCTTTCTTGTCATGTGTACTCAAGTACAGACATACACAAGTACAGTGAAAAGTTCCATAAGTTCACCTCTTATGGCACCACCTGAGGCAAAAGTACCCAGGTACAAATTTTAGATTCAAAAGAGGAATGAGAAAGAAAGTAGTTGCATTACTTTACAGAAATAAGGCATATTTAAAAGGATAATCACAAATTACAAATAAACATTACATTGCAGTAACTGAACACATGGGCTTCCACACGTTGTCTGACTGCCCACACCAGACCCCACTCCAACAACAGTTCCCGCTCCATTTCAAGCCTCCGGTCCGTTCTGCACCAGCTCTCAGCTGCTCCAAGGTACGTATTCTCCAGGCCTCACTTCCCCGCACTGGCCTCCTCCCGGGACTGCTTCCCATCGCTGGCCTCTGCTCCAGATCTCGATTCCACTCTCTGTCCTCCACCCGGGAATCGAATCCCCATGCTGGCCTCCATCCCGGGACTGCTTCCCTGCAGCTGCAAGATTAGCCTCAGGAGCTCACCAGCTCTCCTGTTCTCCTCCAGCGAAGTATTTGAAGTCATGAGTGGAAGAAAAGGCAGGAAGGAAGAAAAAAAAGAGGGAAAAAGAAGAAAAAGAAAGAAAAAAGAATAGGTGGAGCAGAGAAGCTCCAGCAGGAGCATCTAGTTCTGCCACCATCTTACCATAAAATGATAGAATGCTTCATCAAGGTGAAGAGTAAGGTAGTTGATTCTGAGAGTAAAATTTTAAAATTTAGTCAGGGAAACTGCAACAGTGAGGCATGAGTTGGCTCTGACAAATTGGAAAATATTACCAAAATGAATGACAATGGATATGTAATGGCAAACATCCAAAAAGCAATTGGGTGAAATACAAAATTGTTTATTCCCATCTGGTGAAAGAGCACTAAGAGAACAGTGGCCAAACCATAGCTTGTGAGGGAAATTTGAGATAGAATTAAATTTTAAAAAGAGGCATACAAATTGGCATAAAAAACAGGTGACCTGAGGATTGGGAACAGTTTAGCAGTTTGGAATATTTCATAACACAAGATTTATATTTTAATTGGATTGTTAGGTTTTGTTGTGCATTCTCCTTTGTTTAAATAATTAAAGAAAGAGTCGGTATTTTTATTTTCACATCTGAAACAATAATGCATTTTTGTTTGGTAATACTCTCAGGCCACTTAAACTTTTCAAAGCTCAGGCTTCAGAATGCCATGTTCTGTTGCTGTTTGAGGTGGATTCTAGATATGAAGATCTAGAGGGACTATACTCATTCAAAGTGGCTTACCCATTGACTAACATATTGAATATATTCCTTAGAATGAACAGTTTGTATGAATCATTAAATGTAACCCAACTAAATGTGAATTGCAACCTAGTGTTGCAGAATAGTGCATTAACAAACATTGCATGTGAAAGTCCTTTCCACTTCCAAAACTTCATGTCCTTTTGCAACTAGTGTACCTATATTTTACATTCAAAATTCTCATGGCAACATTTGTCAAAAAAACAATGTCCACTGGATTGTCCCACTGTAATCACAAATTCTCAGCTGTAATGGTGCTGTCTTGTCTCAGTTCTTCATCTAACTATGCCTTACCCATACAGCAGAGAAATTCTTATGCACCAACCAAGTCTATATACTAAATTTTGACATGTTTACTATTATTAAATAACATAAAACAAAGTAAAAAGGGTGAGAACATTCTGAATTATGGAAAGGGCAATTTTACGAAGCGATGATAAGGTTTAACAACAGTGCACTGGAAACAGCTACTTGAAGGTAAACCACAGTCAAAGCAGTGGTGGGGGAGCATTCAAAGAGAAAAGAGTGAAAGAGCAGAACAAATGCATCCCCATGAACAAAAGGGTGGGCCCCAAATCCACACACACTTTTTCTGACGAGAGGATAAGGCTGAACCAAATGGAAGTCTGTAAAGGTACCAAGAGCTTAATGCAGTAAAAAGAGCCAAAGAAACAAAGAAAGTGCAACTGTATATTAAAAAGGAAATTAGGAAATCAGTGAGAGGGCATCAAAATACTTGATGAGTAAAATGAAGGAAAACAAAAAGTACTTTGTCATTATCTAAAAATTGAGAGAGGCTTGAACTTATTAGAGATCAAAGAGTGACTTTTGTGGAGGGGTTGAAAATATGGCACTTCATCTAAATGAATACTAGTCATGCATTTTTACAAAAGAGGAGGACAAAGCAGTGTTTCCTAATTAGGAGGAAGTACCTGAAATAATGGATGGCATAAACACAGTGAGAGAGGAAATATGAAGGGGTTTGAAAATGGCTTGTGGCCAGTAGTGAACCACAGGGATCGGTGCTGAATGCAAAGTTTTTTTCATTTATATAAATGATTTGGATATGAACATAGGAGGTATGGTTAGTAAATTTGCAGATGAGACCAAAATCGATTGTGTAGTGGACAGCGAAGAAGTTTATTTCAGAGTACAACAGGACCATGATCAGATGGGCTGATGGGCCAAGGACTAGTAGGTGGATTTTAATCCAGATAAATGTAAGGTGCTACATTTTGGTTGGGCAAATCAGGGCAGGACTTATACGCTTAATGGCAGGGTCCTGGTGAGTGTTGTGGAGCAAAGTGATCTTGGACTTCAGGTTCATTGTTCCTTGAAAGTGGAGTCGCAGGTAGACATGATAGTGAAGAAGGTGTTTGGTTCATTTTCCTTTAGTGGTCAGTGCTTTGAGTATAGGAGTTGGGAGGTCATGTTATGTACAGGAAATTGGTTGGGCCGCATTTGAAATGCTGCATTCAGTTCTGGTCTCCCTGCTATAGGAAAGACGTTGTGAAACTTGAAAAGGTTCAGAAACTGTTAACAAGAATGTTGCAGGTGTAGGAGGGTTTGAAGCTAGAGGGAGAGGCTGAATAGACTGGGGCTATTTTTCCTGGAACTTCGCAGTTTGAGGGGATGACCTAACAGAGGTTCATAAAATCATGAGGGTCTTTTCCCAAGATTAGGGGAGTCCAAATCTAGAGAGCCTAGGTTTAAGATGAGGGGGTAAAGATTTATTCCTGTATTCCGTTGTATATTCTTTCAGTGTCAAAATGCCACACATGAAAGATACCATGAACTCATCAGTACAATTTGAAACAAAAGCACCCGGGGCTGGAGAAACTCAGCAGGTCAGACGACACAAGTAGAGAGTGAAACAGAGTTAACATTTTGGGTTGGAGAGGCTTCCTGACCGATTTCTTCTCAACCCCATCCATCTCCACTCTGCCTTCTCCACTTACCAAGAGAGACTGCCTTATCAAGGGTTGTTGAGTAGTTTGGGTCTGTACATAATGGAATGTAGAAGAATGAAAAGGGACCCTATTGAAACATAGAAGATTCTACAAAGACTTGACAGGTAGATGCCGAAATGTTGTTTCACCTTGTGGGAGAGTCTAGGACCAGAGGGTGTATTCTCAGAATAAAGGCTCACGCATTTTAATTGGTGACGAGGTGGAATTTCTTCTCTCTGAGGTTAGTGAATCTGTGGAACTCTTTACCACAGACGGCTGCCGTGGCTGGGATATTAAGTGTATTGAAGACTGAGAATAAACAGATTTTTAATCAGTCAGGAAATCAAGTGTTATAGGGAAATGGCAGAAAGAGTAGTTGAGAATAATCAGATCAGCTATTATCTCATTGAGTAGTAGAGTAGACTCGATGGGCTGAATTGCTTACTTCTGCTCCTGTGTCTTTTGGCTTTTATATGTATTACATTTGCAATGAACATTTTTAATTATTCTTAATTTGATTTGTCTCATGTCTTTTCACAGCCACAGGGAATCATTCAGGTGCAGGGATAGATAAATAACATAAGAACAACAATCTGTAATCTGGTCCTATATCCTACCCAGGCAAGAGGAAACACCACCAAAACCTTTGTTGCAAATCCACAACACTTGAGAAGCTCAATACGGTCCAGCACCTAACAAACCCCAACATTGAAACACAATGGCAAACAGGTGCACCCTCAAGGTGCAACTTGCCAAGCCTTCGTTGATAGTGATTTATGAACCCACAAGCTCTATCAACCAGAGGGACAAGGAGAGCAAGTGCAAGTGAATAACGCCACCTCCAAATTCAAGCCCATGTTACAAAGCATTCTTGTGTAGTACCCAATAACTATTCCTTCGCAATTACTGGTTCAAATTCCTTGGTGTCCCTCCCTAACAGTAATGGGGGTGTAACTACACTCCATGGACAGTAACTCTCTAAGAAGGCAGCTCATCACCATCTTTTCAAGGCCAATTAGGAAAGAAAAACAAGCGCCAGCCTTGACAAATCCACTTACATTCCATGTATGAATAAAAATATTCCCCACAGGCAGATGGGAATCAAACTGACCACAGCGTGTAAAGAAACATTCTGCCACTAAAAAAATCTGCCCATCCCATACTTGTCTCCAAAACGAATCATAATCTGCTATGAAAATTATTTGTACCTTTTTATGTGAAAACAAATATCAAACCAATGTAGGCTATCAAACCTCAGGTGGACCAAGTTTCCTTCCAATAAAGTGTGAGAATGCCTGGAGATATGGAAATATTGTACTGTGAGCTTGTGTCAGAATTTCAAGTGACTATTTCTGCCTTGACCTGTTATATCAAAACTAAATTCACGAAGCTAATTCCTTGTACTTGAAATTGTTGCTTGTCATACAAGAAAAAAAAATGCACCAAGTGAACTGTTTTCTATGTGGCTCAATGATTTTATTTTGCTGTTTAAACTGCAAGTTATATCTTCAGTTGAGAGAAATTAGATGTGGTACACTATTTCAGTAATTAGACTGAAGACCAGTTACAGCTTCACTGGTGCCCAACGAAGATTCATGGCAAACCTGAAAAATAAAGAGTATTTTAGCATTCTCCCATTCAACAATTATATTACAATATCATATTACTGACAAACCCAGCATATATAGGGCCTTTTTCTTTAATTTATAATTATTGTCTTGCTTTATCATTTCTCTTCTTCCCAGGAACACAAAACCTCATTCCCAGCAACTCTCCAATTCTACAATCAGCTTCTGAAATATATGTAAAAGCAGATGGGCTGTATAAAAATGCTATCACTTTATTGTGTGAAAATAGAATTGTAGACATCCCTGATAGCAGGGCACTGCCTCAGGGATTGCAGCAGTTCAAGGCAGCGAATCACTCCCATCTCCTTAATGGTAAGGGTGGGCCGTAAAAGTTGGCCTTCCTAACAACACCCACACTTCACAAACAAATGGAAATAACACCAGCTTTTAGAACATACCATCCATTTTAACCCAAAGGAAAATGAAAATATCGTCATTTGTCCTGTAACTTTTCAGGATTTCTTGACATTGCAAATCTAGAAAGTCATGTCAAATTTTGTCCATGTATTAGAACTGCCTTCGGTATTTTACTTCGGGCTCCCAAAAAAGGCTGTTTACACCAACTGCACATGATTGATTTACACAGAATGTCTGCTTTCAACTGTCACTGAGATTAGTAAGAATCTTTACCTTCTACTTATGCCCAGTTGCAACAGTCACAGGAAGGATCAAAGACGAGTCCAGTAGCACAATTCTTCAGGTAGGTCACTCCATTCACACACTGGTAAAACTTGTTCTTGTCTTTTGGATCAGCGTAGATACCGTTAGCTTTACCAGCACAGAACCCACTGCCACCGCTGCCACCACCGCCACCACCACCACCACCGCCACCACCGCTGGGAGACTGTGTAGGAGGAACAGCTGGTCGCAACGTTGTTTTAGATGGAACACAAGCTAGAAAGAAACAAAATTCATTGATTCATCACTTGCTTCAAAATTGGTGACAAACAAAGATAAACATAGCCAGTAAAAGAATGATGGTCATTGAAAATCTTTTGGTAGAACACAACTCCTATTGTGTACAGGAGAAAACTGCTTGCAAAATCAATGTACTCAGAGCCGCTGAGGAAATTTTGTGACATTGTCAATTCTGTGCTTGGAGTGCAAGTTTTGAATTGTGATTATATTATAGTTTTATTTTGCATCAAATTACACAAAATGTATGGCAAATGGTATTGATTTCACATAATATAGATAAACTTGATAAACTGGTATGACAATATATTGCCCCTTTAAATGACAATTAGTCATTGCACATCTACAATTTATTTAAGTACAATTAGATAGTATTTTGCTCATTGATGATTGCTGACTCTGTGATAGCAACTAGTAAAAAGATTCCAATGTAAAGAACCCTGACAATTACCTGCAGAGATTCCAAGCCCTGTGTGCAGTGTATTGATGAGAGGATAAGGCCCCTGGTGGCAGAAAGCACCGGAGAAGTCATCCAGAGCAAGATCCCACACCATAGCTCCTCCATAGTTGTTCTTTTTTAGCCACTCAATCTGGAAGACATTGTTTACAAATTCATTTCACAAGTTCTTGTTTGCAAGACAAATTGTTTACAATTTTCACTTGGCCTCATCACTTCCGCTGAGACTCAGGATATACAAAGTGTCAGCTTTATACAAAGCACCTGCACTAACTTCCTTTCTCAAATGGTATGATGTTCCACTTAATCCATTGTTCAACATCACAATGATGAACTAGTCACATATTGCAACACACATACTGTAACAAAGCAATAAATAAAAAGTGTATACAACTTATCAAAGATACCTTGTCCTTAAAGCTTTGCACATTGTCATATCCAACCCATTCATTTCCTTTGTAGGCATATGGAACCATCTGTGAAGCATCCCATTTCATGGTGGCACTTTGCAAAAATGTGCAGATCTGACAGAAGAATGAGATATTAGTACAAAAATCCTCAGTGACAATCCTTTTACCTTCGCATTTCTTTGTCGATTTTATCTTCTCTGAATCACATATTGCAAATAGGAGGCACTCTTCTTTTTGCTGTTGAAAACATCTTATTTCATAATTAACAATCCTTGACTTGTCATTTCATTAAAAGATAATTAATGGCTCATTATACTGCATGTTCCAAAGCTGGGGCACTGGAAAAGACAAAGCTGTATCTAGGCTTTATTCACAAACATGGTAAAGACATTGATTTCGGAGCTAGCCTCAACTGTAGCTTCCTTGCCTTTCCAATAGAAATATGCAACTGTTCAGTGAACAAACTGTGAAGGATTACCCCTGACTATTGTGTAAGGTAAAGTGAAATTTGCTGTAGAGGGTACGTTTTTAAAATTCATTCACAGGATGTGGGCATTGTTGGGAAACCAGCTTTTACTACCCATCCTTAATGGCCCTCCTGGTGATATGGAGCTGCCTCGTTGAACAGGTTCACTCCATGTGATGTAGGGACACGCATAGGACTGTGAGGAACAGAGTTCCAGGATTATCACCTAGCAATGTTGAAGGAATGGCAAAACCGTTGCAAGACAGGATGGTGTATGCCTTGGAGAGGAATGTGTATGTATTATTGCACTCATGTCTCTGTTCCCCTTGTCTCTCTTGATAGTACAGGTCGTGGTTTTGGAAAATGCTATCTCAGGAGCCTTGTTGAGTTTAGGGTGCAGAGGAATCTATCACCCTTAATCTCTCTTTATTTTCCAGCACTAATCACAGTTGCCAGAGTAAGATAGTTGGACACTTTCTAATGACGAAGAGTGTGCCATCATGTCTGTTACATCAGAGGATGATAACAGGTGTCTGAGCTCCTGTTACTCTGGCAGTGAATCTGTGTCAAGCTGAGCATTGACATTATGGAAGCAATTGCTTGTAAGATACATCATAAAGTGATACTTAATCCATCTCAGAACATTTGTATGGTCGAGGTAGTGTAGATATTCTCAGAGTAAATCTTTGGTCATTTTGGAGGGTGGAATTCAGTCCTTGCTGAGTTAGTATTTGTGAATGTAAATCTTACAAAATAAAGAAGCTCAAACAGTATCAATACCTCATAATATGCCAAGAATCCAGCTTGTCTAGTGTACGTCCCAGCTGGTCCAGCACCTGATGCTGGGGCTCCAATTGCATTGTTGGATGAGGTCAGTCTGAAGGTGTGGCCATATGTTGGGAATCCAACATTCAGTTTATCTGCAGGAGCTCCTTTCTCCTTCCAGTAGTTCATTGCATAGTTCTGCAGAAAGAGAAAATCATGGAAGTATATCCTGGAAGCACTTTATCAGAAGAAATATTGATTTGATTTTCATGAGTACGTACCACATTAAACTCCAAGTTGAGAGCACTTTGGGAATTTGCGAGAGCATATAGAGGGCTATTTTCTCCAGTGGTACGGCTCCAGGGTCCAAAGAAATCATATGTCATCACATTGAAGAAGTCAATGACTCTGTATGAGAGGAAATGTGAGTTATGCTGAGAGTCTGTTTACTAAAATAAATGGTTGGAATATGGATCAATAAATAAATGTGCTCTGACTATGGAAAAGGAACAAAATGTGACATTTAAAATGCACGTTTCATGATCTCATGATATCCCAAAGCAGTTCACAGCTGATAGATAACTTCCAACATCCAGTCACCGTTGTATTGGGATAAATGCCAAATGGTCCACCATCTACCTTCATGGGAGGTGAGGCTGGGGCTTTGGTCAGGATTTGCATGGCAAAGGGGGCAGATTCCAGTCCAACCTGCTGGGCGGGTTGCGATGGTGGGTTAATGGGGAGGTCCAGATGTAGGCAGGTTGGCTCGGGTCAGTTATTTCATGAAGTAAGTGATCTGGTGCTGTTGGGCTGATGAATGAATGTTGGACAGGGTGCAAGGGAAACTCTTCTTTCAAATTTCTTTGAGAGTTTTCCAACATTTAACAAGGCAGGCCAGAATCCATTTTATCCTCACAATTGGAAGATGGATGTGCAGCATTCTCTGAACGTTGCATTGGAGTTTCAAGCTGAGAACAGATGTTAATATTCTTGATTGGAATTTGAACTTGTAGTGTCTAACTCAGACTGTTAGACGCTGAGCCAACTTTGTGCATTGCCATAGTACATTAAAAATTTGAGAGTTTATTTTATATTCACACCAGATTATGTTGAAAAACAGATTGGGAAATTAGTGAAACACACTAGCCGCTGGCTATTAAAACCAGATCTGCAAAATTTTCAAGCAAGTTTTGAAGCAAGAGGCCTACATTTGTCTGAAACAAGCAGTAATCCTATTTAGATTCTTCACTGGGTTCTGTATAGCTTGACTGCTAAGTAATTACTTTTCCTGGACTGCCAAGGAAGTGCAAGGTAAAGGATTTCGCTTCATGGCGAGGCCAGTGTGGTGAACATAGGTACTTACTTTCCGAGCTCGGGAATCTCATAGCCAGAATCAATGTTACTCTTGCCACCAGCAACTGCAGCAGAGAGCAGCAGTCTCGGTCTTCCTGTGCTTTTCCCCTCAGCTTCAAACGCTGCCATCATTTCCTAGAAGTCACGAATAAAGGAAGATTCGCTTTATAACAGATCTATACACAAACTGGAGAGTTTCAAACACAGCCTAATGAATTTTCTGATTTTATAAAATGAATCCAATTGACAGATATTACTCTACATAATCAAAGGGTATGGCCAGATGTTAGACTACTTAAATGGAACCTTTTTTTTTAACTCATTCACAGAATGTGGGAGTCATTGGCTATGTTAGTGTTTATTAATTAGAGGGCAGTTGAGAGCCAACCACATTGCTATGGGTCTGGACTCACACGTAGTGCAGAACAGGTGAGGATGGCAGATTTGTTTCCATGATGGAATAACCATTAAGACGCAGGAACCAGAGAAGACATAATTTTAGTTCAGTAGGTAAGGAGGTTGCAATCTATCTACTGTCTAAATTGATATTTTTCATGGTTGAATATTGCACTTTCCTGCTCAAAAAAGTCTGTGAAACTGCAATTTACATCAGCTTCTATCATCGTTAGTTAAGTCACAGGTCAGCTATGATTTCATTGAATGACACAGAGCAGGTAGTAGAAGCTCAAAGGCCTATCCTTGTACCCCTGTCCTTGGTGAAGATCTTGAAAGGAAATCCACATTTCAAACCAAGTTTGAAAGATACTTTGTTTTAGCCAGTAAAATAAGCATCCTCTGAAATACATGTGGTTCCTACCTGCACTAACACCGTGTAGAGATGTTTGTCTTGTGGGGGACTGCCTCTTGATCCAGGATATTCCCAATCAATATCCAAACCATCAAATCCATAACCGCGCAGGAAGCTAATCACAGACTTAATGAAAACTTGGCGAGTTCCTGATGAGGAAACCATGGCGGTGAATCTGGAAGAGGGTAGAATGGAACAACATTAGAATAACTGCATTTTGTTTTCTGCAATTATCCCAAGAATATTTAAGAGTTCCATATCTATTAAACTTCCAAACTGGATTAAGAGACCAATTACAATGTAGAAATGTATAATTTTACAGTATTGCATTTCTGCTGATATTCAGTTCAATCAATGTTCATTAGGTGTATTAACTTCAAGTATGTCTGCAAAAATAATGCAATCTTTTCTTTTGGATAGACATCACATCATAACTATTGTTTGATTTATAATTTAGACAGCACAACATCATCACAATACTTTCATTAACTACTAATCTGTGTAAAACTACTTGGTCATCGTTTCATAAGTATCTTTTTCACCCAGATTATTTAACATTACACACAATTGGAAAAGAATGAATTGTCATCCATCACTGAAATACTTTTATCTTACTTCTGAGTTCCAAAGTTCCAGCCTCCGATGGACAGGAGTGTCTTAAGGTTTCCATTTCTGTTATTAAGATAAACAAATTGTTCTATTAGAATAAGGAACATGAATGAATGCATCAATAAACACTTCAGCATCTACTGAAAATCATTGCTGTCCCAAAGCAAGTACTATTTTCTTCATTGGTGCTAAATTTTAATTGAGCAGGAATACCGTGCAGTAGTGGTAGCCATGTGTTTGGACGGTACCATTGAGGAAGATGCTGCATTGCTGCAGCACATCTTGACTTTCAAACCCCTACCACTCTGAAAGTGAGATTGAGCCTAATTTTTGTGCCATTGAGATGTAAGATGTTAAAGGTGTTGATGAAGGTGTAAAATGGATTAAAGCATTTGAGATGCTAATCAATTATACAAAGGTGGAAGGAGGCTGCTTTTGAGATGGAGAGAATATAGACTTGGAAGCTCAACTGCAGATGGAATAGGACATGAGTAACTGAGCAACTTGTTTCATTCAGAAACAGTGGTCATTATGTAGTTGGTGGGAAAGTGAGGGATGAGTGTTGTAGATGATAAATTCAATCTTCTCAATGATTAGCTGGAAAAAAATCTGTTTCACCCAAGACTAGCTGCTGGCCCCTCATCCACCTCAGTTCTATTAGATTGGTGCTATCACTGTGCGTTAATGGTGGATATGTTTATGGAAAGAGTGTGGATCAAGCAGATTGCTTTGTCCTTGACAGAGACAAGCACCTTCTTGCTTTATTCATTTAGGGATGTGGGTATCATTGTCCAGGCTATCATGTCCTGCCCTTCCATAACTGCCCTTCAGGAAGCCATGGTGTGCCATCATCTCAAATCACTGTGAGCAAATCATGTGGTTTTCTCAGGGACAGAATAGCATAAGTGGCAAAGGAGGAGTTTAAACACAGGGGAATGAAATCACTTATTGTCTGTTTACAATATTAATAAGCAGTTTCAATAGTGTGAAATATTTAACAGGTGAAGCTTGTAGCTTTGCTAGTTAGATTCATTTAAAAGCAAAGGCCATCTGAATCCTCCTGTGTTGTTAGATGCTGTGGAATTCACATCTGTCTCCAAAGCCCAATGTTCTGCAACATATGCAGATGTGTGCGCAATGCACTTTGTTTGAATCACAAATCGGTATGCGCACTAGAATATTCCAAGACTCAATATACAACAAAGTATAACAAGAACCTCAGCTATTCTAAGTATTGCTGATACATTAACGTTATTTAAGAAAATCATTATACTTGTTTTTAAGGCTGTTGAATTCATGGTAAAGGGTTACATCGTTCCATTCATAGGTGGAGATTTGATTGTTCCTCATTCCAGCGAAAGCATAGATCAGATGTGTGCATAAGCAAGGGTCCACATTCTCTGGCTTGTACTTCCCCGCTCCTGGTCTGTACTGAGCCCAGTTTGTAAAGTAACAAACCAGTCTGTAGGCAGAGCCTGTCATTGACGACAAATAACAATCAGCACAGAGTTTCTATTCATTGCATGAAATTTACAAAAGCTTTAAAAGCACAAAAACTTACCCAGTTCCAGGCATGCCAACAAGATCAATGCTGTAATGAAGAATATAGAATAAGTATCAATATTATGATTGAAATATGCTTAAATGTTCAAGAATTCACAACTTTGCCATTGTATAAATGACTGGGGACCACTAACAACTTTCCTTGATCAAACTCTGTTCCTCACTCTATACTGCACTTTTGTGAGATCATCGACAGATATTGAATTCATCACCTAGAGCCCTCATCTTAGTCCTGTCCCCATAGTTAATTTACATTATAAGAGAAATACATTTTGGACAATGGAGATGGGGATGGAGTACAATCCCAATCCTGTGTCATTGGTGCAGCACTCCTGCTCCTCATGGCTCTATAGAAATTGAGTGATTTTCCATGTTAAAGGTGCTACATAAATGTAAAATATTCTCTAAATTGAAGTATTGAATGCAAACACTAAACCTAGCATTGATTACATGTGACCATAATTTTGCTGCACATTTTTTAAAATAACTAGTGCATTTAATCTACAGGCTCAAAGGGTGTAAAGTGAGTTATAGTTTAAATTTTATAGTGAATGATTTTATATAACAACAGAATATTTCATTACAACTAGACACCAAATTGCTATTTTTGTCTGAGATTCCAACTTTTCAATTTGTACATCTACCTAAGTTTCTGAAACTATTGACATATAGGTTTAAATGACAATTGCTGTAAAACCTTCTTACAAGTTGTCATAAATCATAAATCAATTGATTTAGTTTAAGAAACCAACAATATCAAGCTTTAGATGGATCAATTTTCAATTGCCCATTAATGCGATGTTAGGATTTCCACAATTTGCCATGTTGTGCACTATAATTGATGGATAACGGAATCTTATTGCACTAAATGAAGGCCTTTTAGCCCATTTTGACTATGCTGGCTTTTTCAAAGAATGGACTTAGTCCCACTGCCTCTGCTCATTGCTCAATTTCCTGCAACTTTCTCTTTGAACAGGAACACTCCCAATAGGATTATTGGATTATTCTATTCAATTAATTGTGGATGTAATCCAGGGAAATGAACAGAAATTGAAACGCCCAATGACTTTCTGACTACATTCCTGCAAATGAAAACTTCTCAGGAAATCACAGGTTGTATGGTATTCCTTTGCCATTTTAACCAGTTAATTCTCCTGAGATTTGTGGTATTGCAGGTGTTCCACACAAAGTGATTTCTTGCAGCGTTGCGGCTACCACTCACTGTAATCTAACTCTATTTACTTGCATTAACTTCACCATCAGTTAACAACAGGAACAGGTAAGTGTGAGAATTAACAATGGTTGTTCAACCTGTACACTTGTACATTGATGACATTTTGCATCACAGCCGAAGCAATCAAATGCACAGCATTGTCATGGAGCATTTTGTGGAGGAATAGGAGATGGATAATCCAATGAGTCATTTGCAGTGCACTTGACAGCATGCTTCCAGCAATGAGCTAACATCAGCTACTTCAGCCAAGAATCAATTCCTTCACAATTAAACTTGATTCTGAAGAAGGTATCTTCACTTTGTTCTATTCCTTCTTTGAATCCTAAGGCTGGATTTACAAAGAAAAGTCCCAGAGTAAGAGAGGTAATAACTGGTAATACTGGCTTACCTGTTCCAAGTAGAAGCTTTGCCATCTTGCAGCTGGTGAGTTGTCAGCATCAACTCTCACTTTTATACCCTGGGCTTATCATTCATGGTAAATAAGCCCATTCATCATTAGCCTTATCACTGGATGAGCGTCAGTCACAATGGAAAAGTAATATTCCTTATCTTACTTTCAAAATATTATTTTAACCTTCTCATGAATAACAACTTATCCCCTGTGCAATGTCATCTAGATGGTTGATGTTCTTTATAACCCCAATCCCGCCAGTGTACTTGGAACAGGGGCCTGGAAATTTGTGAGGAAAGTTGAGTAGCACTTGCTGTTTTAATCTGGGGTCAAAAATAATGACGAGTAAGTCTGGATCGTCCTGTTGGTTCGGGTCATATTGGGATGTGCAAGTCCGGACATGGTGAATGAAACCACTGGGCAATTTGAAAATCAAACATTGATCATGCAAGATGTGCAGGGTCCTAATTTAAATGAACTATTTCTTACCTTTCAATGTTTCCAATGTGTGCTTTAGAGATTTTAACCAATATAGCAAAGGATGCACTTTCAGCCAGAATAGTGTAATTTCTAGCCTCACATATTGCCTGCATTGTCTGAAAAATGATTTGCTAAGCAACCTAATTGTTCAGTCAGAAAATCCTGGAAACTTTTGATTAGTAAATCAGTATATCAATCAAGATGCACACAACAATATGTAAAGCTAAAGATAAGGTAAATGTGTGCGCCAGAAAAAGGTGGATGATTAAAATGAAGGATGTTGAACAAATGCCAGAATGCCAAATTTCAAGTGTTCACAACACAGGGCACTCAAGCTCCAGGATAAATCAACAAAACTGCAAGCTCCCACTTCCTACAAACTAAGGGGGTGGCTATGGGCACCCACATGGGCCTGAGCTATGCCTGCCTCTTCGTATGATACATGGAAGAGTCACTTTCCTGCTGCTGCACTGGCACCATTCCCCACCTCTTTCTCCACTACATTGATGACTGCTGCCTCATGTTCCCATGAGAAGTTTGAACAGTTTAATAACTTTACTAACACCTTTCACCCCAACCTCAAATTCACTTGGACCATCTCCAATACCTGCCTCCCCTTCCTGAACCTCTCCATCTCCATTTTTGGTAACAGCCTGAATACCAACATCTATTTCAAGCCCACTGACACCCATAGCTGTTTGCTCAGTGAGTTTTATTTAGTTTTTCATCTTACTCTGATAATCTTTGTTACTTAATTTAAAAAAAACATTAGATGGTGTACGGATATGTGTGTGAAAATATATTTCTGTTCAGACTATTTGTAAGAAAGTTCTATTTTCAGGAATGGATGAATACAGTTGAATTGATAATGAAATTTTTACGTGTGGAACCCCAGGTGATGGCCGAGGTGCTCAATGAATATTTGTCCTCTGTGTTTACCGTGGAGAAAGACATGAAGACTTGGGAACTTGGGGAAGTTAGTGGCAATGTCTTGGGAACAGTCCATATCACAGTAGAGAAGGTGTTGGAAGTATTAGAATGTATGAAGGTGGATAAATCTCCTGGTCCTGACCAGATATATCCAAGAACTCTGCAAAAGGCTAGAGAAGTATTTGCGGGGACCCTGGCTAATATATTTGCATCATTGTTAGCTACAGGTGAAGTCCCAGAGGACTGGAGGGTAGTGAATATTGTGCCCTTATTCAAGAAGGGCTGCAAAGATCAACCTGGGAATTATAGACCAGTAAGTTTTACATCAGTGGTAGGTAAGTTACTTGAGAAGATTCTGAGGGATACGATATACATGCATTTAGAAAGTTAGGTTTTGATGAGGATTAGTCAGCATGGCTTCGTGTGTGGGAGATCATGCCTCACAAATTTGTTAGAGTTCTTTGACGAAGTGACCAGGAAGGTTGATGAGGGCAGAGCGGTAGACATAGTCTGTGTGGATTTCAGTAAGGCCTTTGATAAGGTTCCACATGGTAGGCTGCTCTAGAAGGTTAGATCGCAGGGAAACTTGGCAAATTGGATACACAATTGGCTTGATGGTAGGAAGCAGAGAGTCGTAGTGGAAGGATACTTGTCGGACTGGAGGCTGTGAATAGTGGTGTGCCTCAGGGGTCGGTGCTGGGCCCATTGCTGTTTGTTATCTATATCAATGATTTGGATGAGAATGTACAAAGCATGATTAGCAAGTTTGCAGATGACACCAAAATAAGCATTGTTGTGGACAGTGAGGAAGGTTATCAGAAATTGCAGCAGGATCTTGATCAGCTGGGGAAGTGGGCTGAGAAATGGCAAATGGAGTTTAATATAGAGAAGTGTGAGGTGTTGCATTTTGGAGAAACAAATCAAGGTAGGAGTTTCATGGTGAATGGTAGGGCCTTAAGGAGTGTAATGGAACAGAGGGACCTTGGAGTTCAGGTGCACAGTTCTCTGAAAGTGGAGCCATAGGTAGACAGGGCAGTGAAGAAGGCTTATGGCACACTGGCCTTCATCAGTCAGGGCATTGAGTGTAGAAGTTGGCAAGTTATGTTGCAGTTGTACAGGATGTTGGTGAGGCCACACTTGGAGCATTGTGTTCAGTTTTGGTCACCTTGCTATAGGAAGGATGTTATTAAACTGGAAGGAGTGCAGAAGAAATCGACAAGAATGTTGCCAGGACTCAAGAAACTGAGTTATAGGGAGAGTTTGGACAAGGTAGGACCTTTTTCTTTTGAGAGTAGGAGATTGAGGGGAGATCTTATAGAAGTATATAAGATCATGAGAGGCATGGATAGGGTGAATGCACTCAGTCTTTTTCCCGGGGATGGGGAATCGAGGACTAGAGTGCATCAGTTTAAGGTAAGAGAGGAAAGAATACATGGGAATCTGAGGGGCAACTTTTTTTACACAGGGGGTGTTACAGATATGGAATGAGCTACCAGTGGAAGTGGTTGAGGCGGGTACATTAACAACATTTAAAAGGCATTTGGACAACTACATGGATAGGAAACGTTTAGAAGGATATGGGCTAAGTGCAGGGAAATGGGATTAGTGTGGATGGCATTGGTCGGCACGGACCAGTTTGGGCCGAAGGACCTGTCTCCGTGCTGTGGGACTCTGACTCTCTGACTCTAAATAAAATTTAAGCAAAAATAATAATTGATACAGAAATTAAAAAATACAAAATAATCAGATTCCTATATGAATTGATTATTTTATTTTGCTGTTTCAGTCATTATTTTTAATTGAGATAAACTCTTAAAGTCAAATGTGTTGTTTGTTCATCATTCATTCTATAATTAAGTTTATTTTGTATCTCTGATGTTGACTCATTGGAAAGCTGGCAAAAAGTAAGTAGCTTATCATTGTTTAACTTCATAAATTGGTCTAGCAACCCACTCAGTTGTACTAATCATTACGAAGTCTCAAAGAAATTAAACTGGGCAGATCACCTAGGCACTGGAAAAGACAACGGCAGAAACAGCCCTGTCGACCATGCAAAGTTCCCCTCACTAACATCTGGGGGTTAATGCCAAAATTGGGTGAGCTGTCTCACACTAGTTGAGCAACAGCCTGACATAGTCATACTCACAGAATCATACCTTGCAGACAATGTCCCAGACACCACCATCACCATCCCTGGATATGTCCCACCGGCAGGACAGACCCAGCAGAGGTGGGAGCACAGTGCTATACACTCAGGAGGGTGTGGCTCTGGGAATCCTCAACATTGACTGTGGGCAACATGAAGTTTCATGGCTTCAAGTTAAACATGCGCAAGGAAACCTCCTGCTGATTACCACATACCGTCCTCCCTCAGCTGATGAATCAGTACTCCTCCATGTTGAACAACACTTAGAAGAAGCACTGAGGATGGAAAGGGCACACAATGTACTCTGGGTGGGGGATTTCAATATCCACCACCAAGAGTGGCTCAGCAACAGTACTACTGATCGAGCTGGCCGGGTCCTAAAGGACATAGCTGCTAGACTGGGTCTGCGGCAGGTAGTGAGGGAACCAACAAGAGGGAAAAACATACTTGACCTCATCCTTACCAATCTGCCAGCTGCAGTTCCATCTGTCCATGACAGTATCGGTAAGAGTGACCATCACACTGTCTTTGTGGAAATGAAGTGCCGCCTTCACATTGAGAATAACTTCCATCGTGTTGTGTGGCACTATCACCGTGCTAAATGGGATAGACTTTGCACAGATCTAGCAACTCAAGACTGGGCATCCATGAGGCACTATGGACCATCAACAACAGCAGAACTGTATTTCAGCACAATCTCTAATGTCGTGGCCCAGCATATCCCTCATTCAACCATTACCATCAAGCCAGGGGATCAACCCTGGTTCAATGGAGAGTGCAGGAGGACATGTCAGGAGTAGCACCAGGCACACCTGAAGATGAAGTATCAACCTGGTGAAGCCACCAAGGATTACTTGCACACCAAACAGCAGAAGCAGCAAGTGATAGACAGAGCTAAGCGATCCCATAACCAACGGATCAGATCTAAGTTCTGCAGTCCTGCCACATCCAGTCATAAATGATGTTGGGCAATTAAACAACACACTGGAGGTTCAGGCTCAACAAATATCCCTATCCTCAATAATGGAAGAGCCCAGCACATCAGTGCAAAAGATAAGGCTGAAGCATTCGCAGCAATCTTCAGCCAGAAGTGCCGAGTGGATGATCCATCTTGGCCTCCACCAGTGGCCCCCAGGATTACAGATACCAGTTTTCAGCCAATTCAATTCACTCCATGTGATATCAAAAAAACAGTTGGAGATACTGGATACTGCAAAGGCTACGGACCCTGACAACATTCCGACAAAAATATTAAAGACTTGTGCTCCAGAACTTGCCGCTCCCCTAGCCAAGCTGTTCCAGTACAGTTACAACACTAGTACCAACTCAACTATGTGAAAAATTGACCAAGTATGTCCTGTACACAAAAAGCAGGACGTATCCAACCCGGCCAATTACCGCCCCATCAGTCTCCTCTCGATCATCAGTAAAGTGATGGAAGGTGTCATCAACACTGCTATCAAGCAGCACCTGCTCGGCAATAACCTGCTCAGAGACGCCCAGTTTGGGTTCTGCCAGGGCCGTTCAGCTCCTGACCTCAT